TGTGCGTGCGTGCCCAAGATCCCGAGAGGAGAATGGAGGAGAAGAGATTGCAGCATGACCATCCCCCTGGGGGATGATTTCTCGCTTTTTGTCTCTATGTCTCTCTCTGTTTGTCTGGCGAGTGCACGTGCCCTATAGCAAAAACTTCTCAAAAAAAGAAAAAAGAAATAAAAAACAATATATAAAAAAAGAGAAAGACTAGTATACCCATCCTAGAACTTAAAAATGAGTCATGGGGTCTGTCGTGCCTCTGCTTGATGAAGGGTTTAGAATTAGCACTCATTCAAATATTCTTTCTCCCAGAGGTCTGTTAGTGCAAGGTACAGGGGACCCAAGTCCCTTCTGTAGAATAGTCATTCAGGTTGTAATGGCTCAGTCTAATAACCTCACATCTAGAAGTATAGACATATCAGCTATGTAAGTTTAATAAGTAGGCAAGTTTAAGGACATTATATTTTTTGGATTTCAGTTCTTTGTCTTCAATGTGGGGATTATATAACTTACCTTTACAATAATGCTCTAGGGTTGAATGAGATAAATCTAAATAGCTTTGAAAAGAAATTTTTTACCATAGCTAATACAAATAGATCAGTCTATGAGGAAAAAAATGAAATAAAAAAACCCATCAAATTCTCTACCTTCCCAAAAGTATGACTCTATTGCGCTTATGGTGAATATTTTACACTTTCAAAGAATATTACACCCTGTTTACCAAACTTATGGATATGATCCTGTTTGACTATAAATTCTAGTAAAGAAAATGTCAAGCTGGCATTATTTCTTTATGTAGATATTAAAATGAAAATAAAATGGTAGCATTGGGGACAGTGACAGTGCAGCAGTTAAGTGCCATGCACAGAAAACCAGATCCTAGGTTAGTCTGTGGCATGGTGGTTAGGGTAGCTGGATCTCACATGGCTGACTGCACAGTTTTAGTCCCAGACATGGTGGCTTCAGAAACACACCAAGCACGTGTGGGTGAATGCCCAAGATCTTGATGGGATGGAGAAATAGAGGAAAAATTATTGCAGTGTTACTTACCACACCCCATTGAGGGTTACTCTCTCTATCTTTGGCAAGTGCACATGCGCTCTGGCAAAAAAATAAAAACAAGGGACCAGCAGATGGCATAATGGCTATGTTGCTGGATTCCCAAGTAGTCGATTGCGGTTCAAGTCCCGGACCGGTGGCTTGAATTCACTCCGGGCACGTGTGCATGCATGCCTAAGATCTCAAGAGGAGAATGGAGAAGGGATTGTGGTATGGCCCTCCTCCCTTGGTGGTGATTTTTCGCTTTCTGTCTGTTTCTCTTTGTCTTTCTGGAGAGTGCACGTGCCCAATAACAAAAAATCTCTCAAGCAAACAAACAAACAAAAACAAGCAAATATAAAATTCAAGAGAAAAAATGATATAACATAAGGTATCTTTTCGGAATAAACACTCAGTATAGAATTGTGTCAGAAAAACTCCATTTCTTCAGTAAAACTGCCTTGGTTTGACTCCTTTCCTTGCTATTGGCATGTAATAGACAATTAGACAGACACTTCTCATGTCTCGGGTAGTTTATTTTTAGAGTAGACATTAATACTATCTACCCCAGGTTTGATGTGAGAATTAAATGAAATAATATTTGTGAAGCACTAAAAATAGCATCTGTCATGTAGTAATTGTTAATATTTAATTATTATTTATGCACAAGTCCAGACTACCATAGAACAAGAAAAAATATTGACATAATATACTTGGTTATAACATTATATATTAAATGTTTTGTGATCTGATATATGAATATCAAAGAAATACTTTAAAATAAAAAAATAGAAAAGTAATTTTCTAAAAACAATAAAATAAACATTACTTGCAAGAGGGAAGCATTAGAGAAATTCCTTTTAAAGACAAGATCAGAATACAGATGCCCTGGGTCTGGCTCAGAGGTGCAATACTAATGTGCAGTTGAGGTGCTCCTGAATCCATGTGGAAGATCCTGTGTTCAGTTCCTCGGATGACCTGTAACAGGGGACTCATGCCCATGATCTCTGTCAGAAAAAGACCATGTTGAGGGGACTCGCCTTTCTCCTGCTCTGTCTCTGACTCTTGCACTCATGAAAAGAATAATACAAACTTAAAAAAAAGGTGCCCATTGTTACCATACATAATGTATTATATAAAAACAAAATAAAATGAATAATAATTTAAAGAAAGAATTATTTTCAGACAACTTAGGTACTAGGATAACTCAAAAAGAAATTTGAAAAACATGCAGAACCTCACAGAGATGTATGATGGTTATATATAAATCAGAAATTGCAGTGAAAAAAATCTGGATAATATATAATAAGAAGAATATATAACTCATTTTCTCTAACTCTGGAAATGAACTACGAATTGAAATTCCCTCGGCCGTGCTGGTCCCTGAGGATTCTCCCATCTCTTCCCCAGCCCCTTCTAGTATTCTCTTTACCTGGCAACAGAGAATCAGTTGTATTATTTCCCTGATTGGTTAAGCCTAGCCTTGCTGCTTCCTCTTCCCCGCTTTATGGCCATTTTCAGGTGATAGCTCATATTTTCAAGAGCTCTTGTCCGCCCCCACCCGTCCCCAGTTCCTTGTCACTGTTCCTGTGCTCACAGTGGGTTATATACTCCAGAATGCGTGCCCCAAAGAGAATGTTCCAGACCAAAGCTGTCATACTGAGTGCCCTCTCCTTGGCTTACTTGCTGAGTCTTCAGGGAGCTGGGGCCATCAAGGGTGAGTGCCCAGGAGCAGGGGGTGAGAAGTGGGGGACAGGCTACCACAAATTGTAAATTTAGAAATGAGGGGTTTTGGGGATTCATTGATCTATTTACTCTGTCTTCTTTCTTTCTTCACTGCCTTGTGTGAGTCCCATTTGTGCTCCCTCCTGACAATAATAACAATAAAAGTTACTTACTAGACATCTATTTATATTTCACAAGAAACTTCAATGGTGATATTATTTATTACCTGTGAGTCAGAGATGAAAAGAAAAAAAAAACAAAGTTCAAAAAGATGAACACATTTTCCAAGGTTACACACCAATCTGCAGAGCAAAAATTTAAGTGTAGATCTAATTCTGATGATCATTCTTTGCATCCCTCAGACTCCTGCACACAGTGAATTTCAAATTAAACCCTAAGGGGTTCCACGCCCCTCATCTCTCCTGGTACCCCAGCCTCTGCTTTGTGTGGCTGCTTTTGGGGACCTGAAGGCATGGGCTCTGAGTGTTGGCATATAGGACAGAAAGTGTCGAGGGTGTTCCTGTGTTCCTCCCTCCCTCCCAGGATCCTAGGATGCTGCCAGGATCTCTGTGGTTGGGTTGCATGCCTTCTTCTTCCAGGACAGTGATTTTCATGTTTTTGCTGACCCCATGATTCAGGTCCTGAGTGACCAGGGGTATTATTGCTGCACTGGGAGATCTAGTCTGGATAATCACAAGGACTCAGTCAGCAATTATAAATCATGATGAATGCTTAGTTCTCTGCTGCTGACCTCAGGAAGCATCAAGCCTGATCCTGATACTGCCATCTTAAATGCACTGCTATGAAAATTTGGAATTGATAACAAAAGATGCACATTGACCTTCAGTTTTATTTAAGGTGGAGGTTGGTGGGTAGAAGTAAAGAGGAGGTAAGACCGGGGAGTACCTATTGCCCTGCTGATGGTTACTTGAGTTGTTTCCAATGTTGTATCATAATAAACACCATAGTAAACATATCTTGATACCAATATATTTTGGATCCTTGATAGATATTACTAATTATCTCAGCTGTATCTGTAGTGCTTTCTTCCCCTTTGGTTTTTTTTCTCTCTCTCTCTCTCAACATTCTCTGGCCTCTGCTGCTTACATATTGATACTTAATGTTTTGTCATGTTTTCCTGTACTTTCTTTATACAGCAGATCACGTGTCAATTTATTTAGTATTAGCACAATCTCATAGACCTTCAGGGGAGTGTATGTTCCAGTTTGATGGGGATGAGGTGTTTTATGTGGATTTGGACAAGAAGGAGACAATCTGGCATATGGAGGAGTTTGGCCACGCCTTTTCCTATGAGGCTCAAGATGGGCTGAAGAACCTTGCCGTAGCAAAGGAAAACCTGATTATCATGATACGGCGTTCCAACCACACCCAGGCCTCCAACGGTATGACCATCTTTGCTTCTTCCTTTGCCCAGCTGGAAAGGGATGGGAGGGCCCTTCCCCTCGCACAGAGTAGGAGAATCAAATGCCCACTGTAGAGCTGTCCTCTACCTCTGGTGCCCTTGGACTTATTCCAGGACAGCTGAGGGGTTGCATCATCCCTTCGCACCCAAGAGGGAGGTTGAGCTGGGAGAGGTTGATCAGTGGAATGTCTGAGCCCGAGGTAGATGGGGCCCCAAAGGAGGAGCTTCTGTGATTTGTCCCAGAACGGTGGACTCACCAGATCTTATCTTTTCCCAGAGCCTCCTGAGGTGACTGTGTTTCCAAAGAAGTCTGTGGAGCTGGGCCAGCCCAACGTCCTCATCTGCCACGTGGACAAGTTTTTCCCTCCGGTGCTCAATGTGACATGGCTGCGCAATGGACAGCCGGTCACTGACGGTGTCACCGAGAGCCTTTTTCTGCCAAGCACAGAGTTCAGATTCCACAAGTTCCTGTACCTGACCTTTGTGCCCTCAGCTGAGGACGTCTATGACTGCAGGGTGGAGCACTGGGGCCTGGAAGAGCCACTCCTCATGCATTGGGGTATGGAGCCTCTAAGCTCCCCCAAATCTCCCTGGCACCCGCTATTCTTGGGACCTGATATTTTCTATACCCAGTTTCCTAGTTTTCTCCTTATTTTACCTTTTTCTTTTTATTAGAACGATTTTTACTATTGAACACATGCACTTGCCAGAGAAACAGAGAGACAGAAAGCAAGAAATCACTCCTCAGGGGGGATGGCCATACAACAATCCCTTCTCTTCCATTCTCCTCTTGGGATTTTGAGCATGCATAAACATGCAGCTGGGGTGAGTTTTAAGCTGCCGGGTACAGGACTCAAACCACAGTTGACTGAATATATGGGAATTTAGAGAAGTAATCATGATGCCATCTGCTGGTCTCCCTTTCCTTATTCTAACTTGTCACCAAATAGTCCATAACCTTCAACCACCACATTATCCCAGACCCCACTTCTCCCCACACCTGCTGACCCCATCTCTTTCTTCTTCCCCCAGAGGCCCAGGAGTCCATCCTGGTGCCTGAGACGACAGAGACTGTGGTCTGTGCCCTGGGCCTGGTGCTGGGCCTGGTGGGCATCATCGTTAGCACCGTCTTCATCATAAAGGACCTGCATTCCAGTCGCAACCCCTGGGTTCAGGGGCCCCTGTGAGTTATTGCAGAGGTGAGGATCTTGGGATACAGCCAGAGGACGAGAGGAGGGAGCCTAGGATCTATAGTGTATAAAGAAAGGAGGAAAAATTAAATTCAATAATTGTCTGTTGATCCCTTAATGGATTAAAAGCATTGAGCCACACAACAATATCATTAATAACTTACTGAGTACTTAATATGCTTAGGCAGTATTGTGAGCATTTACAGTTATTGACTTGTTTTATCATCACAAATAGTGTCCGTGAGGTAGGTACTCTTATTGTTATTTTACACACCAGATACACATAAATTTTTTATATGCACAGAGACATTAAATGACTTGACTAAAGTCACACAGCTAGGAAGTGGTGGGGCAGCTAGGAAGTATTGATTTGCAGGAAATCCGTGTATAGTCTTGTGAGTAGTCTCTTATCAGTTTTAGTGATTGCAAATGTTTTTTCTTAATCTTACTTCTGGCAACTTCTTCCTTGGTTTCCTTTATTGAACAGAAATCTTTAATATTTTAAAATCAAATCTAATTTTTTTTATTTCATGCTTTTGACTCTCTGATTTTTTTAAAACAAGAAGTCTTCTGCATGCTAACATCTCAAAGACAGTCTTAAAATATCTCATGTAATTTTTTTTTAAGAGAAGTTTTTGCTATAAGGTGCGTGTGCTCACCAGAAAGACAGAGAGAGAGAGACAGAAGTGAGAAATCACCCCCCACACACAGGGAGGATGGCCACGCTGCAATCCTTTCTCCTCTATTCTCCTCTTAGGATCTTGGGCACGCACGCACACATGCCCGGCATGAGTTTAAGTCACTGGATCCAGGACTATAACTGCAGTCAACTACATGGTAGTCCAGTGACATAGCCATTACGCTAACTGCTGGTACCTATCTCATGTAGTTTTAAATTTCACATTTACTGCTTTAATTCATTTTGGAATCTGCCTTTTTGTTTGATTGAGATAAAGATTTATTTTTTTCCATTTAGTGGGACAAGTTTCCCAACTACTAATTGGTTCATGTTCTCTTTATAAGCTTGCAGTACTCTCTTTGTTATATTGAAAGTTCCCATATAGATGGATCTGTGTCTGAGCTCTATTTTGTTCCATTTGTCTTTTTTTGTGCTAATGTCATAGTTTTTATTTATTTATTTATTTTTTGAGAGGTTTTCTTGCTATAGGGCATGTGTGCTCACCAGAAAGACAGAGAGAGACAGAGAGATGGAAAGCAAGAAAAAAAAAAAACCTATGCATGATGGCCACACTGCAATCCCTTCTCCTCCATTCTCCTCTTGGGATCTTGGGCACACGTGCACATTCGCCTGGAGTGAGTTTAACCCACTGGATCTGGGACTTAAACCGTGGTCCACTACATGGGAGTCCAGCGACATAGCTATTATGCCAACTGCTGGTCCCCGTAGTGTTTTGATACTATGATGTAGTATGTGTAGGACAGATTCTCTCTTTTTCTTTGTTCAGTACATTTGTTATTGCATATAAATTTTGAGTTAGATTTATCAATTGTCCCAAAATTATTTTTTTCTGAAACTTTAAAAAAAATCTCAGTTAATTTATATTCATTCCCTAAGCATCCTCACAGCATACAAAATGTGATTTCCCATCCAGAATATACTACATAGTGGCTTAATCATGCATGTTA